TTGAAACCTTTTACTCTTTTCAATATCATCTTCCAATTAGGGAGGTTAAATATTTAATTCAACTAGATAAATGACAAATTCATGCTATAGAAAATGATATGAGAAATTTAATTTTGTGGTAAGTTAAAGTTTGTACATGCACGCTAGGAAGAAAAGATATTGTATAGGCTAATCATTTCTTTTATATGCATTATTGTCATGAAGAATCAATTTTTTTGTTCGCTATATAGGCAAGCGTCAAATTACTTGTAAGGATTTTGAAATTGAATACTGAAAAACAGTTTATATGTTTAGTAAATTTAGCGATAATTAATTGGACCGTGAAAATTCATTTTTCTTCGAATTGTCCTGTGAAAATCTCATGTCCCTTTTTTTCGTACTCATTTTCTAAATAGGGCTATGGAAAGTCTAGTTGTATTGCCCTGCTAGGTATATCTATTTTCTTGAATTGATGTTTTGCATAAGTTATTAAATCGGTCAAATTAACACCTAAATACCATTCCCAAGACGAAACCCCCAACTTCCACTCTATTTAATTTTGTCGTTGACCCTTTTTCATTTAAAGATATTTCTATACTTATATTTTACAGAAAGAGGCAAAAAATGCTACTCAATTATTGGAAATGCACCGTGAAAGTTTATTCAGTGCACACAAAGTGTTCATCCAAAGGACATATGTATACTAGCTACAGATTATCATTGAGTTAAAAAAATTTATCGAAATTAGGATTAAAATGTCTATGTTTGCTTTTCGATCAAAAAATGCCACTTAACTATTAGAAATAGGACAAAAACACCTTCATAGTTAGTAAATTGGACCAATAATGCCCCTATCTCGGTAAGGGCATTTTAATTATTTTTGAAAAAATAAAGTGCATGCTTATCAACATTCTTTTACTAAACACACAACTATTTATGAAAAAAACTACGCACCAACAGTTATTTCTAGGAACCTGATTTTTGGAGTCGTATTAGAACATAAAGTAAATAACAATTGATTTATCGTGGAAACCTTCCTTGCTCAAGGGAATAAAAAAACCACGACCTACACATCGTAGGATTTCACTAAAATTCACTAACTTCAAAGAGCAACTTTAGATTACAACTCTATAATCAAAGGGACCAACTCTAGCTCATCACCTCAATAATTAAGTCAAACTGTTCAATGATTAACTATAATCGAATACTCTACTCAAATCAAACCCGCTTCTTGTTACAATCCTCTCTAACGATTAACTATAATCATTTTCTCTACTCTCCAAGAAGTCAAACCCACTTCTTGTTACAATTATCACAAATTCTCTTCAAGAAGTCAAACCCACTTCTTGCTCTTCAATCTAGGAATAATTACAACTCAATAATAAACATAAACAAATCAACAAAGACTAATAACCCTAGACTTTAATTACTCAGACTTCAACATTCAATAGTTCATATTCGTACACAACTCATGAACCTGGTTCCAGTGTTGCTGTGACGAAGCCTTGCAGTTTTACTCCAATGGCTATTGCTCTCAAGATGATGACTTTCGTGGATATTCAATAGGTGCGACTTTCAATGATCTTCACGTCATATATATACTAGAGATTTTCCATACCCTAATTTATCACGAACTAGGACTCTTACTTTGAATGGGTCTTGTTTTCCTATCAGAAAATCTTTTTCTTACGAGTTTCATCCTATAAGGAAACTTTGATTGATTTTCTCCCTTAAAAGAAATTTCATCCTATAAGAAAACTTTGATTCCTCTTTGGACTTTAATTGTGCTCTTTATTTCTTTCCTCTTTTGCTCCTTTATTTCAGCTATGTTTTTGTTTCTTTGTTCGCTCATTTACTTCTGCCATTTGTAGAAGCTGTCTGCATTCATGTCTGGAGACCTGGTTCACTTGATAGAGTACATATAAGACAACAAGTAGTGACCCAATTCACCTTATCAATGATCAAAACTACTTATATGTTTTCCTACTTCCCAACAAAAAAAAATTCATCATCATCACGTTTCAATGTCATTCTATTCAATCATATAACTAGGGGTGTTCATGGTTCGATTTGGATCGGTTATTGGTTAAGACCAAAACCAAATTAATTTAGTCGGTTTTTAAATTTTAAAATCAAATTGTACAAAAATAGACCGTCAATTTGGTTGTTGTCGGTACGGTTCATTTTTTTTATTTTTTTTTATTTGAAAGTAATAAATTTGTTCTGGGCATACACATCTCGATGGGTACAGACACCTAATACTGAAATAATCCACATGAAAGTTACTTTGGATTTAATTAAGCAATAATATAGTTATTATTACATGAACAAAGTGATTCAGTTAAGAGAAAGTGTGATTATCTGATGTGAGGTAGAGTAGGTAAACACTAAAGTAATACATTTTGATGGACTTGGACTTAAGGTTTCAATAGTTAGGCTAAAATTTAAGTTAAAGACTTAAGTTAATTAAAATTTAACAAAATATTTATATTTTATTTATAAATAATATATAATTAATTATAAAATTTATATATATAATTTCTCGATTCGATTTGATTGTTTTTGCGTTTTTTATTAATAAAATCAAAATCAAATCAATAGTATTGATTTATGAAATTTAAAATCAAACCTAACAAAATCACACCAAATATCAGTTTTTTTAATCGATTTGGTTCAGATTGTTGTTCAGTTTGATTTTTTAACCATAACCATGAACAACCCTACATATAACTGTGTGGACCACTTAAAAAGTAATTTTCAACACTTGATGATGCTTATCAACTTTTTAATCAGCTAATCCAAATATGAGCTAATTTGACTAAACAAACATAATCTCATAGACTCAATGTTGTTAGGCTAGTGAATGATCACTGATGGCAGAAAGAGGATTTTAAACAGAGAATATTTATGGGAAAAAGAACAAATATACTTTCGAAATGGTATGCGTATATCCTTCGTTATACTATTAGTACATTTATTTCCTTATCGTCCAAATTTTAGAGCATATACACTCTTTATACTAACGATGATACATGTGTGTTAATCCTATCCGTCGACCTGAAATTTATTAAATTTCTAACAAAAATTAAAACCCCGCCCAAATTAATTAAAAAGAAAGGGAAACTAAGAAAATACCCCATAAAAACAAAATAATTACAAACATATACCCCTTTACATTCATACCCTACTAAATAATTACAATATATACCCCCCCCCCCTCCAACTAATTCCGCTTAACTGATGCTAAATCGATATCATATATTATATTGGTATCATTAAGGCTAATAACTTCGCTTAACTAATACTAAATCAGTATATATATACTGTATTGGTATCATTAAGGTTTTTTGTTCAGAAATTACTCATTTGTCAATGATACTATAAGAGTATATGTATATTGTTGTGGTATCATTAAGGTTTCTTGTTCAGAAATTACTCATTAGGCAATGATACTATAAGAGTATATGTATATTGTTGTGGTATCATTAAGGTTTCTTGTTCAGAAATTACTCATTAGGCAATGATACTATAAGAGTATATGTATATTGTTATGGTATCATTAAGGTTTCTTATTTAGAAATTACTCATTAGTCAATGATAATATATACCACAACAATATACATATACTCTTATAGTATCATTGACAAATGAGTAATTTCTGAACAAAAAACCTTAGTGATACCAATACAGTATATTATACTGATTTCGTATTAATTAAGTGAAATTATCAGTCATAATGATACCAATACATTATATAATATTGATTTAGTATCAGTTAAACAAAAATTATTGGCCTTAATGAATGAGGGGTATGGGCTGTAAAAAAAAATTCTAGAGAATGTGTATTTCTTGAATTACTTTGGATTGGGATATGAACATGTAATTATTTTGAGTTTTATAGTTCATTTATGTAGTTTTTCCCATACCGACCCAAATACATGATACTCACCCAAAAATAGCCCAAATACAGGTGTTAGAGAGGGAATTTCTCAAAAAGGGTAGCAGAGAATCCACCCATGCTTCTCTCTCGCGCTGCATCAGAAATGAAACCAAGGAATGAATAATCATCACTTCTACAGTAGAAGTTCTACTCTTCTTCGAGCTTTAATGAATCTGTCATCACCAACAACTCGCCACTACTTCCTTTTACTTGCCCCTCCAGCTATTCTTCTTCGTCACAAAATCCCATCATTCCACATCATTGGAAGATGATTACTACGTTGCTCAATTCAAGATATTAGACGTTTATGAACAGGAACAAGCTATAATTTCACTGTGAAAAAGCACCAGAAACAATGACGAAGCTAGTGTTTCACTGTGCACGCCATGACATTTATCGGCTCTCAAGCCGTTACTAATTAAATCTATAAGTTGTCATGTTATGCCAATTTTTCTTCTTTTAAAAGAAAAAAGTGTCCACAAATGTCTGTTGGTGGACATCAAAAAATAGATGGAAAAAGCACCAGAAACGATGACGAAGCTAGTGTTTCACTGTGCACGCCATGACATTTATCGGCTCTCAAGCCATTACTAATTAAATCTATAAGTTGTCATGTTATGCCATTTTTTCTTCTTTTAAAAGAATAAAGTGTCCACAAATGTCTGTTGGTGGACATCAAAAAATAGATGGAAAAAGCACCAGAAACGATGACGAAGCTAGTGTTTCACTGTGCACGCCATGACATTTATCGGCTCTCAAGCCATTACTAATTAAATCTATAAGTTGTCATGTTATGCCATTTTTTCTTCTTTTAAAAGAATAAAGTGTCCACAAATGTCTGTTGGTGGACATCAAAAAATAGTTGGCAGCTCACAGGCTTTTTGGTTTGTCGTAAAATTTGGCTACCCTTTTAGTGTACTTGCTTGAAAAACATGCCCTTTCGACTTTGGACTCTAATTTACTCCAAGATTCTAACCTAAAGAATTATAATTCCGGAATAACTTAATCAGTGAATCAAAGGATCCCTAAGGATAACACTTTTAATGGGTGCGCCAGTAAGCATAACTGATAAAACACCAAATAATAAAAGAAAGACGCATAAACTGTTCGAATCATTTACACCAGAAACACAACAAAGAGAACTATTACATTTACTTGGTCGCGGAATAAAAATACAGAAGGAAACAAAACAAAGTTCATAACCTTATAAGGTGGTGGATGGCATAAAGGGCTTCACCAATCTTTGAGCAATTCACCAGCTACATCTTTATAGCTAACTTTCTTTTTCTTTTTAGGACTGGGATTAGTATCTGCCTCTGGCTTGTCATCTTTTACAAGAGTGTCCACGCTTCTTGTTGGCTTACTATCCAAGTGGGGTATCATATGCAGTAGCATAGCTTGGACTGGATCAACAGGGTCTTCCAGCTCATCCACCTTGTCTTTGCCCCTGGCAATATTTCCACTTCCGTATGAAGTTTCGTAAGCTTCGTCCAATCTTTCACCGATCACACTGCATTCAGCAGTCCCTGGTGGAAATGCTTTACCATCTGGTGACAATTCCAGATCTTGTACATCATCCTCATTCTGAATTCCTGAGATACGTATTGCAATACTTTCATGGCTCCCAACAGCCGCTTCACTCTCGTCATTACGAAGATGCTCGCCTGAAGTAGCACTTTCATCAGATTCATTTTCATGAATCTTAGCACGACTACTTGTGACCTTGCGTTTAACTCTACGTGGAATGTTGATCCCCACTTTCCCTTTTGCTGTAGCACTACCAGTAGGTCTTCCTCTATCTCGTTTCCTTCCCCTCTTTGGTAGCGTGATAGCTCGGCCCTGGTCTGAAATTCCTTCTGCTTTGATTTGCCCTCCATGTTTATCAGGGGAAGATGGTCTGTTGCACTTTCCGGAATCACCTTTTAGCTTATCATGTCTACTGAGTCAGGAAAAACATGGACGCTGAGTAGTTAAACACATAATACAAATGCCAGCAAAAGAAAAGGTCATGCATGCTTGAATTTACTATGCATCACTTGCTTGCTGGGCAAGATTTTCAAGCAAAGCTAGAAATTCAAGTATGAGAAGATGAATAGGTAGAAATTACTGGACAAAAGATGAGTAATTTGGCTGCAGGAATATCTCGTTGTTAGGACTGCATTTATCAATTAATTGACTTTGTTGTGTTAATTTAAGGCAATTGATTGACTCTTTGTTATGGATACTTATATCCTACATTTTATTTCATTTTTGACGCATAATTTCCAGAATAAAATCTACCTACATTGACAAAAGAATCCCTCAGAAATTCCTTTGTTTAACAAAAATCTATCTACGACTCAATAGTTAGTTCTTTAAGCAGTCTTCCTACATCAGCAATACCCACTGTAGTTATTTTTGGTTGTACTCGCCCAAAACTTGTAAGACATGCATGGATTTTCCTTATAATAATACAGTTACTTCTTTCTATTCGCAGATGCAATTATCAACTGCAGTTTCCACTTAATATCATTTTCAGCAGCAACAACAACAACATACCCAGTGAAACACACAAGTGGGGTTTGGGGAGGGTTGAATATAGGCAGACCTTACCACCACCTCGTGGAGGAAGAGAGGCTGTTTCCGAAGGACCCTCGGGCCTCAGCTCAAGTGAAACAAATCTCGGTATAAAGAAGAAGGAGACAATGTAGAGAATACAACAAATAATAAGGAACAATGCAAAAGTAGCGAAAACAACAAAAAAAATAGACTCCATAAATAACAATGATACAGGTAAAAAACAAGAACTACAATAATACAACTAGCACCATCGCAAACACCAGCCACCCTGAGAAAGACAACACTACACTACCTACTACCCGTCTACCCTAATGCGCTCCACACCCTCCTATCTAGGGTGATTTTCAGCACCATGTATATTATTATCATTATTAAATTTTATCAACATTTACTATTATCATCACTATTATTCTCTACTCTGTATACAATCAAGCAGTATAATATAAAATGGAACTGGATGGAGAGAGCTTCTCTTTCTCTCTTTTTACTAGTACAAATCCACTTTTGTGCTAATTGGCCCTAGGGAAAAAGTAAGTAGAGGTAAGGTAATCAATCAATCATTCATAGAACTCTTATGTGATATCCCTAATTTTCAGAAATCAATAATGGATAGAATCAATAGTTAGTTAGTAGAGAACGTCTCTCGCTCCCTATTCAATAATCTGTTTGGTTTCCTGATTAAATTACTGTAGCTAGAAGAAAACCCTAATCTAGACAGAGATATTTTTATGCTCTCATCTATAGATGGTACACCAGGCATTATTTATCAACCACCACCCTCAAATATGGCAATTTGAAGAACATTATGTTGCAAACAGTTGAAAGTGACATCATAATTTCAGAAATGGTTTCATCTAAAACTATAAACTGAATATCTCATTCTTATCTTCATACTCCCCTTGTCCATATTTTTCACTTATTCAACTACCTATTTGACCAATTTTGGAGTTAACTTGGATCAGATTAAAGCTAAATTTTTCAAAAACTAAAATCTTTAGATATTTAAAAACTGCATGAAATATGCTATAAGTCACAATTCTACTCACATAAAGAAGACATAAGAACATAATTTAATATGGGAGAAAATGACAACATTTTAGAAGAAAGAGTCTTCCTACATATTATATAGTAGGTAAAAGGTAGTAAATTTGCATGGCAACCAAAAGAGCTTCCCCAAAGTATGGCTGTTGCATGTCGTCCATGTAAGAGCAACACCACCCACCACCCTCAACACATCTAAATGGAAATTTTAAAACATCACTCGGAATGCAAATTTTGGAAGACAAAAATGAAGAATAATAATTCCAATACTAAATACTACATTAACTCCTTATCTTGGTCCATAAGAAATACACGACTCACCTCTTCTCAGAGATTGACATTTGAAAATTGCTAGGCTTAAGGCTATAACTCTCCTCAACCAACTTCTGGTCCTCTTTAAAGGAATCCTCCAACCACCGTGCTCCAACTACATGCAGCTTTGTATTGTACAAAACATGTTTCTCTGCCTCTGAGAAACTGAACTTTAAAGATTAGGATGTTATCGAGAATAAAGAACAAAAGCATATTCCGTATCCTCATTCAGATAACGAAAAACATCATCCTGACATCAAAAAGTATGATGGCAGACAAAAAAATTGCATGGTTCTGAATAAATTGCACAGAACATTACTCTACCATTTATTTAACAGTGTCAACTTTTCATAATTGAATCAGACTTACTAGGCGTTTACATGAAATTGAAACCATGTTTAGAAATCATTGATTTAGGTAGAGGTTGGTTTAAAGCTGAAATTGTGCTTGGAAATGCAATTTGGATTTCAAAAGTTATACTTCTTCTTATAAACATAAAAACCCCAGAATTAGTGAAACTATCAAAACATCCCCAAATTACCATCAAAGAGCTATGTTGCAAACAATGATATGCTTCCACAGATAAATCTTGCCGGCTGATGGAGACTGCCACAACTTGGCTGGATTGAGCAGGTGAGGCCGTTAGGAGAAGGAGCTTGTTTTTGCATAAAGTAGGTTCGAGTAATTACTTTTGCAATAATTATGTGTATCTTTTTGCAAAATTTAAAATTATGAGTCAAATTTTAAATTATAAAAAGATTGAAACTCTACCTTTTAACTGAATTTGGAATTTGAAATTGAACTTTTGTTTAAAATGTCATAAACAAACACATCTCAAATCAAAACTTCAAATTTGAAGTCAAAATTGCATATCCAAACACCTCCTTAGAGTAAATCAGCTTTTGATATGAGATTTAGCCACTTCTCAACTATATGAGAAATACTTAAGGTTGCAGTTGTTCAGATTCTAAAAAAAAAAAAACTAAAAAGAATTGGTGACGAATAAAATTTGTAGCTAAGTCGTTTAACATCCGCCACTAACCAGACTAACAAGGTTTTCTGTCTGTAGATAAAATCTCCATATCTACTATTTTAGCAATGGGTTTTGCATCCATCGCTATAGAAGGAAAAGCATGATAGTAAAAATTAGAAGGAAAATCCGTAATAGACAAAAATAATACGTAGCTAACTGTAGCCACAAACTTGTTCCGTTGCTAAACTTAGTGGCTAACGCAAGTTCCGTCACTAAAAGTGTTAGAAGCTAGGTATTATCACTGAATAAGTAACTCCATGCACTACTGAACAGTGTTCACTTAAAAAAGTGACAACCGAAGTGTTCCAAAGGAAAAACAGTCTGTTATTTGGAGCTCAACTTAGAAAATTCAAGATTCACTGATGAAATTGCTAAAGCAAGATCTTTAATTGAGTTCATGGCTAACACACCCATGTTGTGTTCTTTAGAGCTTAATTTAATATCGACATTATTGTATTTTGGATGTTGAGATTATAGTCTATTGCAATTTGCTTGCTATTCTGCTAAATTAAAATATAGTATTTGGTACTTCTCAAATTTTTTGTACATTGTGCACTTCAGTTCTTGGATTTCGCTTCAAGTTCCTTGGACCTCGTCACTCTTTTGCAACTAGATACATCGGCTGCTAAAATCTTAGCTACAACGGTTTTACCTATGGGTTGTGTGAGAATCTCTGTAATTATTATAGATATCGTAGATATAGTATATAGCTTGATTGATTTTCTCCCTTGTGATTATGTATTGATTTCCTTTCTTTTATTAGGACATGTAAACCTAGTTATTTAAACTCCATTAGCTTGGGGCAACAATCAAGCTGTGTTCTCTCTCAATTTCTCTCTCTTGCTTACATGGTATTAGAGTAATAGGTGAGAAAAGTAGTTTTTTCTCCATTACTAGCAACATTCAAGAGATGAGCTTCGCCACCGTGCAATATTTACAACGATTGTGTCATTGTTTGAGGGGTTTGTCAACTTATGCCAGTACTGTCCACAAACGAGACCATTGATGAACCCCTCTCAGTTGTGCGACCTAGCCCAAGAAACCCACTGCCGGAAAGCTGACTGGCGGCCTTCGTCTTCGTTGGTCAGCCTTGGGCCATTCCAGTAGGGTGGACGAAGTTTCACCAATTGCGTACACCATTGTTAATGTGCACTGAGAGAATAAGCTTAACGTCTGCTGAGAGATTTCTTAAATGCACTTAGTATTTGAGGATTATAATGGTTGGTTATAAAGACCTATGGTCAAAATACATTGATCTAATCCAACATAATAGATGGACCATATTTAACCAATGCTGCAGATGGTTTATAACAAATCAATGAAATAAACCCTCAACGCATAATAATCTGGATTTTCCAAGAAAAATACCAGATATAAATCTATTTTGCGACTCGAGAAAATACCACTGACGAGAACAGCAAAAATAAAAGAGGTTGCTAACAACCAGAAAGCCGATTTTAAAGTTCCAATTCGAATGGCGGACATCTTACTTTCTGAAAAGTAAACTAGATTTGTAACTTACCTATTCAACACTTCATTGAACTTTACATCAAACTCTGGTAGAGACATGACGACGACATGGGTAGCATGAAAAAGATTGTCACAAACTTTCCCACCACCCACAGAAATTTCAACTTTCATCCTTCTCATAGCAAGTTCCACTAAAACCTTGCAATCTGAATATTCCCTGAAACACATAGGAGAGCCATTAAACCTCAACAAAATAACCACCACATCGAAGTATTAATACCCAAGTAGAAAAGCTAATTGGACAGAGAAGATAGGAATCCTCACAGACACTGCTTTGGAATGAAAAAATAAATGCAGCAACCATGAAATCGAGCCCATTTATCCTTGGGACAGTACTTTTTCTTGTAGTACTCAACAGTTTTGGAGTCTTCTAAGTGTTCTATATTTCTCAAAAGCTGCAATAAGGAAAGAAAGAGAACGGACAGAATCAAATAAGATTGGCAGTCAGCTGCTTGCTCAATGTTTTACAGTAATGCTCCTACTGTTAAAGCTACGGACGCATATAAGATTATTTAGCAGATAGCTAAACCAAATTATACCAGTTTAATTTCTTCAATGCTGATGTCGGAGTAGAAAGAATCAGAATATTCATCCACTTCTGCTTCCATCTTTTTCTTTGTTGAATCAGAAAGGAAAAGAAAATACCTTCAGCAAGAAACCAAGAAAAAGTCAAAAGAATCACAGAACACATGGAATTCCAACTACAGGAAGAAAGAACAAGATGAGAAATACTGCCGGGTAACTCACTTTGGCTGTAAAGGAAGGAGCTTCTTTTGCAGACAGCAGACAAAGAGCCAAGAGCACTGAATAACATCTCCATGAAGTTTTGCAGCTTGAAACTTGATACCTGTTATTAAGAAAAATCCTAGTGTTACCTCCAAGTTAATATTATAGTGCACCCCAACTGCTCATGGGTGTTCACATGAACTTTCTAACACCATGACTCTGGATTGGGGAGAGAGAGAGAGAGAAACCTCTACTTTCAGCTGCTATACAATGAGTAACTGACTTATTCAAATTCATGGAGAAAGAACCCCCATGCTCGACCACCATTTTGTGCAAGGATTCAAGTGTATGTGATGAAGGCACATTAGCAAAATCTGGTGTCGTTAAGGATACCTCTTATACCCAGTTAGGTGACAAATATTTCGTAAAAGAATTTACATGTTAGAATGTAACATGACAAATAGATACATAATAAGCACATATAGCTGAAAGTAGAGCCCAAAAATCCAATTCATTCAATGATTTTCAAGGCAGAATAAACTTAAGAAACAACTGACAACAAATTGTCTTTGTTCTGATACAAATACCACGTAAAGTATGAACACCGTTGACCAGAACAAATCCCAAAAAAAGAAAAAAAGGAAGGAACAAAAATAACAAGGTAGTTCTTTTTTTATTGGTAAATTTACAGGATAGATCTTACAGTTAATACCACAAAACAGCTTAGAAACCAGAGTACATTTTTCCATTGACATGATAGTTAAGGATACAAAACACCATGTCAGAGAACATTGATGTTTCACCCTTGATTCGAGACACGTCAGTCTGAACAAAATGAGAAGGAACTGCAGAGACATTCTTCTTCTCTCGTTTTCTTGACGACCTAATGGTTTTTGATTCATGATCCTGCTCAATCCCATAATTGTCCTCCCTCTGCGTGGTACCATTGGTTGAATGTACCAGATCAACAAATGCTGAGACAGGAATAACAAAAAGTTCTGCTATGAGTAGAAAGTGAAAATAGAATCAAAGAACACAATGATACCAGAAAAAGTTTCAAATATAGACATCAAACATCATTGTAACAAAGCCACTAACATTGCACATCAAGACACTCATGCCAAGGCTTGTCATATCTGACTTTATCAATACGCGGAAATCTCAAACTGTATGGAGCAGCAAACACCTGGAAGAGCAGAAAATGAGTTCTGCTAACATGTAGCTGATTTCAAACATGTCATAAGTTCAAGCACCTAATGAGTACATGATTGAATACAAAATAAATTACAGATATCAAATCCCCCAGGATGACTTCCAACTCTCATTGCTTTATATAAAAAATTAAGCATATATTGCTACGTGCCAACAAACAGAGAAGGAAGACTTCTAGTCAAGCTGCACCTCAGTTCTTATTGTTCTAATATCACTTGTAATTGAAACAATGATGGATCTGCAATGATAAACGGGAGTCAGATAAATAAAGGCATAATATATAAATGTGCCCTTTAGCTTGACCTCATTTGGCATCTATGTCCTCCAACTTTGGGTGTGCACAATTAGGTATTTAAACTTGTATAGAGTTGAACAAGTAAACACACACGTCCTACTTGGTATCCTACGTGGAATTCACGTCCTACACGGCATCCTGCACAACGTCCTACATGTATTATGTCACGCAGGACGTGTATGTCTACTTTGTTCAACTTTATACAAGTTTAAGTGCCTACATGTGCACACCCATAGTTGAAGAGCATAGATGTTAGCTAATGCCAAGTTAAAGGGCATATTTATGTATAAAACCAAATGAATAATAAGGAACAAGAAAAACTCCTATTTCAAGATTAGTCAAAGTGGAATACTTCTCTGGACTTTCAACCCACACGTCGGGACGCTCTTTTGTATTATTTGTTACTTGATAAAAGGTTGGTGGTGCCTGCTTCGGGTACTCATACTTCCTACCAAAATAAATGCGCCAGTATCAGCAAATTATGCAACAAATTGTAATATTCTGTCTAAACTAATATGCCTAATCAAAGAACTCTCCATGAAAGTATTTCAATTTTCTTGATAATTCTTTTACCTAGGAGTTCTCTAAGATTTTCTACATGAATTTACGAATGATTATAGAAAGAAGAAATTCTTATCTTAGGAGCTACTTGAGAGCTACTTCAATGATTTTGTTTATGACTTCTTGACAACTCTTCGGCAATTTCTTGATATTTACTTGGAAATTCTTATGTTATGAACCCTAGAACTATGAGTTATGAAAGTTCCCAAATGTGAGACCTTATGATGCTATCTAATGATTCTCTAACTTTATTATTATGATATGATATGTCTCTCATGAATGCAAAGCTATGATACATGAACTGTAACCTCATGACGTGATGATATGAATGAAGTTTATAAACTATGGTCCTTATATGTTATAAATATGAGTCTATGGGCTAACCCATGATCACATGAGCTTAAGGGAGCTAAATAGTTACTGAGAAGGGATAAGTCTAAATGACTAACACCTGAAACAATGTTTGTCGACGTAGGTTAAGGATCGTATCGTTGGTTCGGCAACTCCTTTATGTCCTTGGTAAGGGCTAGCTATGGATCCACATGATATGTACACGTATGTCTCATACCCGACAAGGTATGAGATGACTTAACTGATCAGGTCGAGATCACACTTCATGCGCTCACATGGTGGTTTATGTCGGTTACACTATTAGACTCCCATAATGAACAAAAATATGAAAAAAGAAATATCCTTAAGGTAATCTGAATGACCTCATCTCTTGGCCTTCATATTTTACGATTATGACTATGTTAGTTACTTTTATTAATATATAAGAATGTTATGTTTTATTCCACCATTTTACATACATATAGTCCTATTCCATATATATTTACGTCCCTTTTGTCAAGGGAGCTGTATCTTTTTATTGATGCAGACTCAAGTACGCAGACATGAAATCAAGTTGCTCACTAGGTTTCATATTTTCTACTATTGGTGAGCCCCTCTCTATTTTTGGGGCTTAGTCTACATATTTTAGGAAGTTATGTTTTCTTTTAAGGTACATCGGCGGTCTTGTCCCAGTTGACACTACTCAATTATGTTTTGAGGCTTCATAGATAGATGAATAGTTATGTTACATTTGGACCTTCGTGTCCTTTGACAATGGTAATAAATTCTTATTAAATTTGTTTTCTTATGAATCTTGTTTCTTCAAATGCTTTCAAATGTATTCTTCCGCTCATGTTTAGATGTATGCTCATGTCCAATGCCATGTTATGGGTATGCTCGGGCAATTAATGATATCGCGTGCCGGCAACGTCCAGGGTGTAGGCACAGAGCGTAACAATTGGTGAGATAACATGGTAGAAACCTTGTGATTCATGTCCTACGGCAACGTCTGTCCCTAATAAGAGAATCATCAAGAAATATTATAACACAATTTAGGGAACAAGTCAAACGACGGACCAATGCAAGATTAAAAGGACAACCATGGACATGAAGAAACATAATTTTGAGTGTCAAAGGATAAGAGATTAAACTACTTTGTACTTTTGTTTAAATTCAATCGACTAAAGTAACAGGGGGAGGAGACTGAGAATAAATAATATGACAAAAGTGATTTATCACCAGGAATATGATCATAAGCACCGGAATCCACAACGCATGGTCCAAGGGTATTAGACTATGCAACCGAGGATTTGTGGAGATATCTACTTACTTGCTCAATATTGAAAGAGCTCATTATATTTCTTTTAAGGTAAATCTAGCGTTGGTTATCATTGCATTTGTGCAGCCAAAGTTGGTCAAGATGACCAAGTTGACCGACATCAGGCTCGCCTTGTTGCCAAGGGGTATACTCAAATATTTGGAGTTGACTATAGTGATACTTTCTTCTATGGCTAAGATAACATTTGTTCGTCTCTTTCTATGGTTGTTGTCCACCATTGGCTACTTTATCAGTTGAACATTAAGAGTGTTTTTCTCCATAGTGACTGTGAGAAATATATGGGAAAAATATTATTGAATTGTATCTAAATTGTTACATTGAGACCCTAGTTCTAGACAATACATTGAAATCCTTTTCTAACTAGGATTCCTATTCCTATTCTTCTTCCTATTCTAAGTAGGAATATATATACATATTTCTATTCTAACACCACCCCCTTAAGCTGGTGCATACAAATCATATGTACCTAGCTTGTTACAGATGTAATTAATACGAGGATTTGTGAGGGGACTTGGTGAAGATATCTGCAAGCTGATCATTTGACTTCACAAATTTCGTAACAATATCACCTGAGAGTATCTTTTCTCTGACAAAGTGACAATCAATCTCAATGTGCTTAGTCCTTTCATGAAACACTGGATTTTGATGCGATATGAAGAGCTGCTTGATTGTCACACACAAGTTCCATCTAATCAATTTCACCAAATTTTAGTTCTCCAAGCAACTGTTTGATCCAAACTAGCTCACAAGTTGTTGCCGCCATTGCTCGATATTCTGATTCTGCACTAGATCGAGCAACCACACTTGTTTTTTACTCTTCCACGACATCAAATTACCTCCTACTAAAACACAATATCCGGATGTCGAACGTCTATCAGAGGGTGATCCTGCCCAATCAGCGTCTGTATATCCAGTGATATGCTCATGGCCTTGATCCTCATAGAGTAGTCCTTTACCAGGAGCTGACTTTATATATCGCAGGATACGAACAATTGCTTCCCAATGACTATTACAAGAGGAAGTCATAAACTGACTTACAACACTCACAGGAAAAGAGATGTCAGGTCTAGTTACTGTGAGATAATTCAATTTTCCAACGAGTCGTCTATACCTTTCAGGATTACTAAGTGGCTCCCCCTGTCCTAGAAGGAGTTTAACATTCGGATCCATAGGAGTCAATAGGTCTAAATCCCATCATTCTCGTCTCCTCAAGAATGTCTAAGACATACTTGCGTTGAGAAATAACAATACCTGATCTAGACTGAGCAATCTCAATACATAGAAAATACTTCAATCTGCCAAGTCTTTAATCTGGAAGTGCTTAAAGAGATGCTGCTTCAATTTGACGATACCATCTTGATCATTACCAGTGCAAGCGGTTGGCTAGCAGGAGGCAAGTCCGCAGTACGAGCAGGGTCTGGCGCATGACATGAATCATCTGGGACTAGCGCTGGATGCGGACGGCGATGATAAGTTAGGAGTGGTGGCACTACAACTGGAGATGTAGAAGTAACCGTAGATTCCTCAAAAGTTGGTACAGGTAAAAACCTGAGGTATGGGTAAGACCATAGATACATCAGGATGATCAGAAGACATATAGTAAGGCTGAGACTCAAAGAATGTAACATCGGCGGACATAAGGTAACGATGAAGATCATATGAATAACAACGATACCCTTTTAGAACTCGAGAGTAACCAAGAAAGACACATTTGAGGGCACGAGGGGATAATTTATCTTTCCCTGGGGCTAAGTTATGAACAAAACATGTGCTCCCAAAGACACGAGGGGGGATAGGATAGAGATGTGACTCAGGAAACAATATGGAATGTGGAACCTGATTCTGAATAGAAGATGAGGAAATTCCATTTATTAAATAACTAGACGTAAGCACTGCATCTCCCCAAAAATGCAGCGGAACATGGGATTCAAGGAGAAGGGTACGAGTAGTCTCAATAAGATGCCTATTTTTTCTTTCTGCTACACCGTTCTGTTGAGGGGTGTATGGACAAGTAGTCTGGTGAATAATGCCTTGGTAAGTCATAAACTCCTGAAATTGGGAGGATAAGTATTCTAAGGCATTATCACTACGAAAAGTACGAATAGAAACACCAAATTGATTTTGTATTTCAGCAAAGAAACTTTTGAATATAGAAAATAACTCAGAACGATCTTTCATTAAGAAAACCCAAGTACATCTTGAATAGTCATCAATGAAACTAACAAAATAACGAAATCCTAAAGTGGAATTGACTCTACTAGGACCCCAAATATCAGAATGAACTAATGAAAAAATAGACTCTGAACGACCCTCAGTACTACGTGAAAATGTAGCACGAGTGTGTTTCCCAAGTTGACACGACTCACAATCTAATGTGGATAAACTAGACAAAACAAACTAGGAACCATCTTTTGCAGTTTGGATAGACTCGGATGTCCCAAACGTTTGTGAATTAGATCTGGGGAATCTATAACGGAGCATGCTTTCAAGGAATTTGAAGAGGCAAGGTAGTAAAGGCCTTGTGATTCATGTCATGTTCCAATCGTCTGTCCCGTACTGCGGTCCTGCATGAGAAAAAAACCATCAAAAAAAAGTTATGCTACAATGTAGAGCCTTCGTCAAACAACTAACAGATGCCAGAATAAAAGGAGAACCAGAGACATAAAGAACAGAGTCTAGGGTGACAAAAGATAGGGGTTTGGCTTTTCCAACCCCTTTTGGTTTTGTTTGGATCCCATTGGCTAAAGTAATAGCAGGAAGAGATTGTGAATAAACAATATCGAACAAAAGTGATTTATTACCAGAGATATGATCAGAAGCCCCGAGTCCATGACCCATGATCCAAGAGTACTAAACTGTGACACACAAGCAAAAGAATTACCCGCAACAGAAACATCAGGTTGTGCAACCGAAACTACTTGTGGAGACGTTTGCTTATTTGCACGATACTGAAGGAACTCTTTATATTCCTTTAGAACAATAGGATCATAACTGGGTGGTGGACCATGCAAAATATAACATATATCACGAGTGTGTCCAGGCTTATGACAATGACTACACTTGGATCGAGATTTTCCAAAACGTTCTCTCCTTCGTCGATTCTCCATAGACTGGTATGTATGCTGGAAACTGATAGAAACTGCTATAGTGGTCTGAAAATATTGGAAGCTGCCGGAATCTGCCCACAGTGGCCTGAAAA